TGACCTAGCCCTACTGAGTTGGTTTTCCTGTTATTTGTAGCCAAGCATCCGAACTGATAATGAAATCTCTATAAAAACCTCAAAACTATTTTAAGCCACTGTTTTTGGTCATTTATCTTGCTGTCACAGAAAACTAATAAAGAAGGGCCAGGGATTTAACTCAGTGGTGCCGCCGCCTGCCCTGCAAACCCAGTGTCCCGAGTTCGATCTCTGTTACCAAAACAAAAAACCAAAAAAAAAAAACAAAAAACCAGAAAGCTAATAAAGAGCTGCTTTAAGGTACCTCGACCTCAGAAGGAGGTCTCTCAGCATCCCTGTCCATGAGATGATCCCACCCGCACTGCATTTTCTTAGCGTTTGCCACTTTGGTGATATCTGATTCATTTCGTAATCAATTTTTTTGTCTTTCCTCCCTAGACTGTGACGCTCTATGAGGGTAAAGACTGATATAATTGGACTGACACGTTTCAGCACCTCACACAGTACTTTCAAATATTAGGTGCTTAATAAATATTTGGAGATTATTCTATTCTTTTATCACAAACAGCACAACAAAGGAAAATCATCCTGTCATTTATGAAAATATGTATAAAATTCTCTCTCTTTTATGGCAGTAATGGGGCTTCAATTCAGGGAGTGCTAAGCCAGCTTGCCCATTCCTCTCTCTCTCTCTCTCTCTCACATTTTGAATCAGAATTGCACTAAGTTGCTCATGGTAGACTCAAATTTGTGATCTTCCTGCCTCAGCCTTCCATGTAGCTAGGATTACAGGCATGTACCACTGTGTTAAATACTATATTATTTATGGTTATAATATCAAGCAGTTATTTAAAAAATATATCATAATCATATTGAGCCTTTGTGTTTGTTTTTTTTGAGACAGGGTCTCACTATGTAGTTCAGACTGGCTTTGAACTCTCTTTGTAGTCCAGATGGCGTTGAACTCACAGAGAGTGAGGCTCCTGCCTCAGCCTTCTGAGTGCTGGGATTACAATTATGTTCCACCACAACTGGCTTATATTGGTTTTATCAATAGATTTATGTTTAAAATTCTCCTCATTGACAGATTAAGGGAAAACTAACACACGATCATTTCATTAGTTAAAGAAAATCATTTAATAAAATTCAATCTCATGGCTCTTAAGAAACTGGAAATGGGAACTTCCTGAGCTTGATAATATCATATACCAAAATCCTGCTGTGAACATCACACTTTTAGACATGCTTCCATTCATCAGAAACAAAGCTAGAGTGTCTATAATTGATGCTATTATTTAATATGGTATTAATAACCCTTGCCCAGGCGTTGGCAACCTGGTCTTCTGTATGTCAGAAAGTGAGTAGGCCATGTGATCTGGCTTGATTATCTAGCTTCACTGTTGTAGCACGAAAGCAACCATGGTGATATATATGCGAATATGATTGTGTTCCAATCAAAGTTCCTTTAAAAGTACAGGGAGTGGGCAGTGTTTAGCCTGAAGGCCATAGTTTGCCAGTCCCTTTACTGAGCAGTGCAACAACTTAGGGAAAGTAAATGAAGAATGAGAATCAAAGAGAGAGTGACAAAATAATCACTGGTTTATAACAGAGAGTTCAAGAGGAACCAGGAATCATAGTTATAAACACAGCCCTAAGGGGCTGGAGATGTAGCTCAGTGGTGCCACAAGGCCCTGGGTAACGAGAGGGTGGGGGAGGGAAAGAGAGAGAGAGAGAGAGAGAGAGAGAGAGAGAGAGAGAGAGAGAGAGAG